TCACCAGAGCTCAGCCCAGCCAGGAAGCTCCCATCCTCCCTCCCCCACGCATTCCAGTTCTGCAGTTACTGGGAAAAGCCTCTCTGTCTGAGTATAGCAGCATACCACCGACTCTCCATCCACTACTGAAAATCAGCGTTAACACCCAAAACCACAAAGCCATACTGAAACTTGACACAACTCCAAAATGTGCAGGCTGCCCCCCGTGTTATCTGTTAGCTCATCTGCACTCTTCCCTCAATGGTGGGTTGCACACCAGTGTGGGATGTGCTCCAAGGGCTGCCATCGCCCTCCTGATCAGCAGCCAGATGGAAGTTACGGTGTGGCTGAGATGGCACAGGTGCCAGCCTAGCAGCACTTCATTCTGAGCTGGTGTTGTCAGCACACTGCCTATAATCACTGCCTGCAGCCATCAGCACAGAGCCCAGGGTTGTGGTTTGTCACAGCTCAAGGGTTTGTTTCCGCAGAGGCGGAAAGTTGGAGGCCATCAGGTTATAAACCACAGTGCTGTGGTCTAGCTCACACCTTGCCATTTCCTACATGAAGAAAGCAGGCAAACCCCAGCTTCAGTAGCTTCCAACACAAAGGCAGCCCGAAAGGTTCACACCTGTGCAACAGCTGCTAGCAAACCTTCTACGGGCTGGCTGGCACTGATGGGGCATTCCCTGTCCCAGCAGGAGGATGAAGTTAACACTGTGGTGAGAAGCATTTCTTGCTCCAGGAGCAGGGAAACTGAAAGCTCAAAGCAGCCTCCCTCCAGAGCACACCCAGCCCAGTTCAGGAAGAAGCCAAAAGCCCTGGAGCTACAGCAAAGAAACCTATTGATCTCAACGGTTGCTGATAACAACCACCACCAGAACAAGGCAGCACAGATCATCCAGGATATCCTGTTCCGTCACGAGCAGATGCACAAGATTACACAAGCCTTCCTTGTGCTGAACTTTCTGCTTTCCAGAGTGAACCTTGAGGCCAGTAAACACAGTGCTGTGCTCGGCAGGGCGGAGGAGAGGAGACAGCTGTTAGCAAACATGGCAGAGCCACATCTTGTTTGAACACCGCAGCTTATCAGAGCAGTGAAATCTTCAGGAATGATCCATCCAACCGCTGCAATAAGGACTTCCTTCTCCAGCACGGCGGTGACGTAAGCAGGTCTAATAATGGATCACCCTCCTTGCTTCCCCAGAAACGTGGACATCGGGTTAAGCATATGATTCAGCTCTGAAATCCGTTTTTTGGAGAGACACCGTATGTTCAGAATTTGTTAAGCTGCAAGCTATTTGGGATCCACTACGCCTGATTTCATTGCACTCCTGCCTTCTGCATCAGCCCCAGTGCGAGGGAAAGCAGAGCAGTCCAGACACAGCAAAGCAGTGCAACTTCTTCAGACCAGTTCTGCCAGATTGGTGCTTTGTCCTCACCACAGAAGTCACCGTGCTGTCTGGTGAGCCTGTGGTTGTACAACTTCCGCAGAGGGGGTGTGGAAATGCTGTAATTCTCTCTAAGGGCACAACCAAGATTTCTCTTCCCGCTACTCAAGGACTCCTTTGCACAAGAGCACCTCACCACAAAGTGACACTTAAGTCTCAGCAGCAGCAGCAGAAGTGACACACGCAGCACAGCCCGCCGTGTGGCCAAACCACCCCACCTCAGGGAGAGCAGCTGGGTTAGCTCACACCGTGCACTCACATCATTCTACACCTTCACACCTGACCACCTTGTAACCACTTACAAACCTACAAGTTTAGAACCCTTAAAAAAAAAGGGTTAAAAACTCTTGCAGAATACTGGCCCTGGTTTCAGATCAATGCTGCTTGGGTCTTCAGTACATTAACACAAGTTCACCTTCCTGTAGCATTGTTAAAACTTGGTAACTGTCTCAAGATCTTACGATAGTCCCTTTGGCAGATGAAGCCAACTGTGTGCAGGATGACTCTCTGGCAACTTAATGAGGGCAGAAGAGCCCTCCAGTGTGCTGTGATCTGTTTCTTACAAGACCCTCCCACGCTGAGATTCACCAAGCACTAGCCAATGTGACCATGAAACCATTTCAAGCTGCTAGAACACATCCCAAGCTAAAAACATCGCTTACCTACCATCCTTCCCTTGGTGGCCATCACTACTGCTTCTCAGCAGGACCAAGAAATCATTTCTATACACCATGATGTGAACCAAAGTAGCAGTGAGAGTGGCTCAGCAGCAAAGCTTACCTTCCACATCATACCACTGAGCACCATTGGTGATGCCCTCTGGGAAGGTCTCTCCCTCCTCACCAGGGCAATTTGGCTTGCCAGTCTTCATTATGGGGTGATGTGATGCATAAGCTTTTGCCAAATATTTGAACACTTCATCATCAGCTGATTTACTGTAGACTCCTGTGGGCTTATGTGTGGGCGAGTCATCATAGGGATAGCTTGCAACCACTGAGCCACCGTGCAGGTTGCCAGAGAGCAGAAACCTGGAGTTGGGAAGGAGAAGGAAAGAACTAAGAGTCACGTCAGAATGCTGCGAATAAGAAGCCAGCAACAGCCGTCTCCACCAGAAAGAGAATTGAAGTTCAGCACATTTCTGAGCAGAGGTACCACGACCAATACCTGCATCCTTGCATCAGACAGCTCACGTGAATTGGGTTATACCTGCTATCTATTTCTTTTTGTTTGTTTTATTATTTAAGTCAAGCAGTTCTGTTTACCCATTCCCTCCTGTACCAGCACTATGTTGGTGCAGTGAGCGCAGCAGCCCCAGCTGGTGCACAAAGGATGGCATTCTTTCTATTCCAGCCTGGTTTAAATGAAAACCTCACCTCACCTTTGCAAAACCATTAAACTAACAAACAAAGCAAAAAGTAATTTCCAAAATGATATTAAGCACATGCAAAGGTTTCTCTTGCAGCTAAATTTGAACTGCACCAAACCAGGAGGCTCCTGGATAACCAAGCTGTCTGAGCAGGACACACCAGTCACGGTGCAGCCTGCAGGGCCTCCCCAAGCACGGCTCTCGATGGGCAGCCACATGCCGAGCGTTAACAAGGAGAGCCCTCGAACTAAACCTCGCTCCCCAAAGCTGAACGGGAGAGAGCAGAGAGCGGCCTGCGCCGCAGAGGGCAGCGCCGAAGGTCGGGCGCCGGTAGGAAAGCAGCCCGGACGGCGCAGGGCCGCCCCGCACTCACTTGTTGCGCCGCATCCAGGCGATGAGGGCTCGCACCTCGGGCACGGGGCCCAGGTCGGGCTCGGAGGCCTCGAATTGGTCGGGGAAGCTGCGGTTGAGGTCCCGGCCGCGGCTGTTCTCCCGGCCGCTCGCCCCGCCGCCGCCGCAGTCTCCCTCCCGGGCGCGCTCGAAGCCGTCGGGGTTGAGGCTGGGAAGCAGGTAGAGGTCGGTGGCGTTCAGCAGGCGGCCGATCCGCGCGTCGCCGCCGGCCCAGCCCCGCACCAGCTCCCGGGCCAGCCTCAGCAGCAGCGGCCGCGCCAGGGGCTCGTCGCCGTGCATGTTGCCCACCAGCTTCACCTGCGGCCGCCCGGGTATGGGCGGCCCGCCGGGCTCCTCGCCTGTCCGGGGCGCTTCCTGCCCCGCCGTCAGTCGCAGCACCCACAGCGGCCGCCCCTCCACCGATTCGCCGATGCTGAAGAGCCGCGCCAGGCCCGGCGGGGCCGAGGCCGCCAGATCCCGCAGCGCCTCGCCCAGCTCGGCCGCGTGCAGGTACCGCAGCTCCTCGCCGGGCTCCGCCGCCTCCGCCTTCTTGATGTGCGTGCCGCGCGCCGGGCCCAGCAGCGCCAGCAGCGCGCAGAGCGGCAGCAGCACACGCGGCCCCCGCACCGCGCTCGCCATGACCCGGCCGCGCGCCCCGACCCCGCCGCGCCGCGGAGCCGCCGGGCACCGGGAGGGGGCGGGCGCGCCGCTCCGGCCGCCGGCCAATGAGCGCCGGCCCGAGGGTGAAGCGGCCGGGGCGAGACGGAGAGCGGCCAACGGGAAGCGGAGGGCGGCGCTGCGTCACCGCGGGCGGGGCGAGACGGAGCGATGTGGCGCCCCCTGTTGGCCGCGCCGCTCCCGGCCTCGTGCGGAGCGCCTCTCGCCGCGGGACGGAACGGCGGGGCTGCAGCGCAGTGCTACCTGAAAGGGAAAGGCGAGGCAGGGGAGCAGCAAACAAGCGTGGTCTGGGGACTGACAGCCCCGGTGCACAAGGGGCTGAGTATCGCCCCGGGGCCCCGGCTTACTGCGGGGAACCGGCCGGCCCGGAGCACTGAGGGCATCAGTGCAGTTAGATGTGAATCACAGCCGTGCTGGGTGCCACTGCAGGACAGCGTCTGAAAAGACAGACAATAATACTTGGGGGGTTCCTCTGATCAGATCTTTGCTGCTCCCTTTTTTTTTTTTTTTTTTTTTCAGGCAGGTGGAATGATCAGGAATAACAAGGAGAACTTTGCAAAAAACACACTGCAGCCCATATAAAAAAGGGGTCACCTCCAACACCGGGTCTCAGCAACTCCTGTTTAAATCCCCAATGCTATCTTCCACACACATCTACTTCCCAGCTCCAGTGTTTCCTGTTGGATACATGAGCTGAGTGTGGCTCATAAACCTGCAACCTTTGGGGAACATCCATCCCTTGTGCAGATCTTTGCCATCTGCTGCACCACAGATCACAGCAGGCACAGCATCCAAAGGGCTCTGAGGAAAAGAAGAGCAAATCAGCTCCTCCTTCTCAGGGTTGATCCACGCTGTGTGGTCACTGGGAGGGAGATGAGCAGGGAACAGGGATTATTTATCAAAGAGGTTCCCAGGAAAGCTGAAAGACCTGGGCCATCAGGGCATTTTAAACTGAAAGGGAGAAGGAACATCAATGGGGAACTCAGCAATTTCAGAAATGGTCCCAGTTACATAGGTTACATCCTCAGTCTACAAATAAATTGCTTTGGATTTACACACAATAACTGAGCTTATTTCCCTTTTTAGCTGAAAAAGGCCCAGTTGTCTGGAATTTCAACAAACCAACTGTAAAAGCAGCATGTGGCAGAGGCCTGAGCTCTCGTCATTTCTCATCAGCTAGCACAAATAAAGCTCCCACCAGCCAGCCTGAGAGCTCTACCTGCAGTCAGGGTGAGACTGCAGGTTAGGGACTGACCTGCACAACACCTCCTGCTCCTCATGGGGGCTGAGCCTTTTGCACTGCAGCACCACCCTGGTTTCCTCGGAGTGGTTCCCCATCAGGCAGGATGGGGCAGCCTGGTCTTTGCAGATTGCTCACAGAGGGAACGAGGCACGGCTCCGCAGTGGGGAAGTTCAAACTGCTGATGTTGTTTGGGAGGTCTTCACAGGATCAAATCAGCACTTGATTTTCCAGCAGTGCACTTCCAAGAAGTCCCATTGGCAATGATAGTTCCTAGGCAGACAAAAATACCTTAGGTCCAGGCTGAAGGGCACCACAGCACAGCAGTGTCTTGAAAAAGAAGCAGATCGGGGAATTACACCAGGGAACTTCCCGCACTGGCCATAAGGGAGCTTCTAAATCCAGCAAGAAACAGGCACCCAACTTGGCATCAACCCCAGTACATTTGGTTTCCCCTAGGAAGCAAAAATCCCTTGAATTTCAGCCCATCAGTGGCAGCTTGTTTCTGTTCAGAAAAACAACAAAGTCATGGGGACCTTGCAGATAATCTCTGCTACCACAGCCTGCTGGGCAGGAGGCTGCCTTGGAGTTGCTGCCATTGGGTTGAAAATGGAGTTTCATGAGTAGAGGATGCAAACAAAGGATTGGTGTTATTCATCTGCCCGAGTGCTACTGTGTGTGAAAGTGGAAAGTTACTGAACAGAACCTTGCTGGGAAGATACAAGGACCAAACTTGAATCACAGAATCATTCAGGTTGAAAACGAGCTCTCAGATCCCCAAGTCCAACCCCAACCCACCCCATAAGGTCAGTGGAGAGCCTTCAGTGCCCATGGTTCTTGGACACCTCCAGGGATGGGGACTCCCTCACCTCCCTGGGCAGCTGTGCCACTGCAGCACACTCTGAGAACACATTTTTCCTAATTGAAGTGGAACTTAAGACAGAAACCTCACATCTATCTCCCGCAGATACCTGTACTATTCATTTAACACCAAGTTTTCTTCCCATGTGCTTTTATTTGGGACCCTATTTCACAGAGCAGGACGGGAACAACCACACCAGCATTCTGCCTTTAGTTTTCTCAGTCAGGTTGGTGGCTGTGGGCACACCTGCAGCACTGACCACAACCCGGAGCATCAGGGATGAGGCTGGTGACAGACAGCAGTGATTTGGCAGAACCTTTGTGCACAGCCCTGAGAATTTCTGCAGTCTCTGGGTGCTCTCAATCACAGCACACGATCCACAGGCCAGTACCTTGCTGTTCTGCAGTATAACTTAGACTTGCACTCCTCGGACACGGCTCGGTTTCTTGCACTCACTTCAAGGAGATGGAGTTGAAACGATCCTGAAAAAAATGATTGCAAGGATCTGCTTAAAGCTATGAGAGAGGCACAGCACGACGGCCCCGGCCTGCAGCCAGTAGGTGGCCCCCGCCACCCTCCAACCTTCACGCAGGGGTTGGTTCTTTTCCTTGTTCTTTTTCCCCCAGGGCTAAAACTTGCCCATCTTTCCTCTGCATTCAGTGCCAGAGAGTGTGACCTTTTATTTAAGGACGATCGAGAAATATGATGATGAGCAAAATTATATATTAAAAACAAAAAAAAAAACCAACGAAACTTGAGATTCTTCTGTGCCAATAGTGGAAAGTATGTGGGATATGGGCTGAGTCTGATTGCAAAAGCAGGGCACGTCTCCAGTCGTCATACTTGGGGAAAATGGGGTTTGTGGGAGGCAGCACAGAGCAGAGGGTGCCCAAGCAGCACTCCCTGGCAGCCCTGCTCTCCTGCTCCGAGCTGGGTTTGGGTGTTCCTAAACAATGGAAGTTGCAAAACATGTGGCACCACGTATTAAAAAGGGATTAGGAGAGGAGAACCACAAGGAGCAGCCTGGGGCAGAGCCTGGGGGACCAGCACAGCAGGACTGCAGCCAGTTACAGGCACTGCCAGCCAACGCAGAGAGGCAATCCCAGCTCACACACACCTGTGTGCATCCTGGGATGCCCCGGACTGCAAGAGCAACCCTCTGCCAGCAACAGCCCAGGGCATTCTGAGCAGTGCTCTGCCTCTGGAGGCACTGAGGGCAGACTGGGACACACACTGCCCTGACTCTGAGCTGGAGGGTAACGCAGCCAACAGTCTCTTTCACGTTCTAAACCATTTCTTCTCAGGTTTCTAAGGCTTGTGTTACACCCGAAGAGAATGGCATTTATTAATTTATTCCCTTTGGGGCTGTTCAGAATCATACGTAAGAACAGCCTTATTTGGGGTTTGTTGGTGTACTGTTGCCATAAGGATGCGAGGAGGAGCCAGTGGATAATTCCAGCCCGTGCCCATGGAGCCCTCCCTGACACAAACAGCACACAGCAGAGCTGGCTCCTTGCAGGACAGCCACGGGGCTCCTCTGAAGGGGACCCTCCCGCTCTGACTCACTGGTGGCTGCTTTGCATTCTGGAACGAAGCTTATGTCCCTCCTAAGCATAATGAGAAGGTGGATAATGCAACCCACTCTAGATCATGGTGGTAATTAAGACACCCACAAGATAATTAAGCCCTATATAAAAATACATATGTAGAAAGTCATTGCGAAAGTAATTCCTTATCAGTTTTAAACTGTTGCCTTCCCGTATCTCTGGCCAAGTTAACACCTTGCTTTTCTAATCTCCCTTCTTACAGCACATCTCAAATGCCATTGCAAAACAGCGCTGCCATCGTTCAACGGCCACAAACCCAATGAACCCGAGCTTATCCTTCTGCCCATCACACACACCTGGGGCAAACCTGGCATACACTTTTCCCCCAGCTCCCATTCAATGCTGTGCCCTGTGTCACCACCAAGCTCCCTGCTACCCGATGATCTCTCCCTCGCTCTTGCTTATAGACTGAAAATACCCCCCCAAACTTCGCTCTTTCATCCTTTACATCCTCACCTACTGTAAACTTCCTTCTTCACATGAAATATAATTGCAGAGCAGTGACCTGAGCTAAGCACAGTGTACCCTGAGGGTACTCAGCATTACAGGGCATGTCTCTGCTCCCTGCTCTGCCAGTCCAAAGTCTGAACCGGAGCATTTTCTCTTTCCGCAGCCTAAGAAGGACCCAGCAGCAGGACATGGGGCAGGAAGGGGCAGCTGGAGTCTCCTCAGAGGATAATTAGGGTATGCTTCACAGAATCACAATTCTTATGGCTTGAAACAGCGGCGTGAACAGCCAGAAAGCTGAAAGGGAAGAAGTGTTATTTTTGGCAGGAGGTCTTTATGGCTGATGCAGGAACTTTCTCCTTAGTTATTCATTGTCTTGTCAAGACTCATAAAAAGCCAGCAGAGCCCAGCAAGAACTTCTCTTCAGTGTTCTGGGAGCTCAGAAATGCAGGAATTAAATGTGGCCTTGAACCCATTTTATGGATTCACTTCTTACGGAGCTACCATAAAACATTAAAAATCAGAGCTTATAAATAAGGAGAGGAAGGGCTGCACATTTCTTTTCAGAAGCCACCTCTCTGAGACTCTTCCCAAGGTAAGCAGGGATGGGCAGAGACTGAGAGACGATGACCTCAAGCAGCAGCAGCCAAAGACAAAAATACCCCCTGGAGAAAAGCAAGACATTGGCTCAGTTTATGCCGTGGTGACCCCAACCCAGCGCCACCAAAGGCTCCCAACAGCTGCAGTCAATGCAGTGACCCTGCCTCTTTTTGGCAGGCACCAGCTGGGCTCCCCATGATGGCACAGAGAAGCAGACTCACAGCCTCCTGCCGAGTGCACATCCTCGTGCTTTGCTTTTTGGCACACATAGCCACAGGTAAGTGATGGAAAAACGCAGCACTGTTTGTCCAAACTCCATCTTGCTGGCAGGTGAAACTGGCTGGGGTTGGGTTCTGCCTGAGGTGATAGGTAATAGCAGCACCCTTTCTTCATATGCTCTGGAGATCACTCCTGCAGGACTGTCTAAAAACTGGCCTCCGATTCTGAGAGCAGCCAAGCAGGGAATGGGGAAGCTTCAGCATTTCAGTCAGCTGCACAGGAACGACGAGGCCACCGCGTTCACAGCTGCTCCATGAAGTGAGAACTGCAATGCACTTGGCCTGGGAATACCAAGGGGGAGACAAGGTGCTCTGGGCTGTTGTACTCACAGGACCACACTGCCTTTTATTCTGAGATGCATTTTTCAGCTCATTCATTCATGACATCGGCTAAATTAGAGAGTTCCAGCTTGACAGAAAAATTTATTCCCTATATTGTTTTCCCATTTAATCCATCCTGAGGCTCTACGTTAGATTTACTGTGACTCACCAACCTTCTGGCCGCAGCAGAGGAGCTGACAAACAGCTTAATACAACGTTCAGCTCCAGCCAAAAAGCAGAACACCAAACTGTGGGCACAAAAACTCTTGGCACAGATATGCTACAACAGTGATTTGCGGCAGGAGGGTGGGCACTGCTGGCAGGGTGTTCTCTCACTGTGTGTTACATTATCAGTGCCACGACATGGTTTTCAGATGCTCTGTTATCTATCATAAGCCAGGCTTTGGAGTTCATGCAGTCAGTTGCAAAACTTTCACTTTGATTTCAAGTAACCATGAAGGGAAATTTGTGATAAAGTTGCTTCCTATCTTAGAAACTGAAGTCCCACCTGAAAGAGGAGCGTTATGTTGAAGCCTAACGCTCTGATTGTTTCCTCCAAGCTCAAGGCTTAGATAAACCACAGGCATTTGTGGAAAGGGTGCAGGGTAGGACGCCTAAATGCCCTCATTCTCCTTCTTTTGCAGGTGTAGAACTGTCTGTCAATAACTACAACGATGACTTCACCCTGATCACATCACCCGGGTCTCTCGCCTCCCTGTCCTGCCTAGCACAGAACAGGAGCCAAGCCGAGGAGCTGCGCTGGTACCGAGGAGACAGCCAAGTGGATCTGAAAGATGAGAATAAAGTGAACATCAGCAACATCTGCATCTCTCCAGTCTCTGAGTCTGACAATGGCGTTGCCTTCACGTGCAGGCTGGTACGGGACCAGTCCGTGCAGGTCTCGGTGGTCCTGGACGTCCGCTGTGAGTGCTGCTATCAGTGTGGGACGGCTGGGTGGGCTCTGCCCCACCCCACGTGCTCAGCTGAGGGCAGGATGGTTTTGTACCCTGGTGCACTGTATTCACCGGGAAAAAATGTGCTGAGGAGGAGATAGCTCACGTGATAAGTCACTCCCTTTCTACAGTGGTGCTTACAGCCTGTTCTAATGCCTCTTTTACAGGCAATGGGTGGGCCCTTTAAGTAAGATTTTCTGGCTACATCCCTGCCTCCACCTAGACTCTTTCTCAAGGATGCAAGTCGGGGCAGGAAAGGCACAGTAGTAAATGTCATGACTGCCCGGCTGATCCATGGGGATCACGATGGGGCACAGGACAGCATGTGTGCTCAGATCACAGAACTGTAGGGGCTGGAAGGAACCTCAGGGGATCGTCAAAGTAACTCCCCTACTAAAGCAGGTTCCCTACAAATGGTGTCGCAGTTGATGTGAAAAGGGAACCTACTTACTTACAGGAATGACCTCTTTAACTGCTCTTACTCTGAACAGTTCCTCCCTCTGTGGGTGAAGATCAGACCATCAGTGTTGAAGAAGGCAAAGACGTCACTCTGTCCTGCAGTGCCAAGTCCAACCCTCAAGGCCAAACAACATGGTACAAGAACAACACCATCCTGACAATAGAAGACCACTACCAGGTGTACCAGAACAGTGAGACCTTCCAGCTCTCTATCAAGAAAGCACAAAAGTCTGACAATGGGACCTACACTTGTGAGGTGAAATCTTCTTGCGGTGACAGCAGTAAGGATATCCACCTGATAGTTGAAGGTAACAAAGTTACTACTAAACATTAAGTTGTAACGCCAGCTCTGCATTGGCTTTTGCAATGGCAGCAACCCACTGTGAGTGGGTTTACATCATGGAAATTTCCCACATGAAATTCTGAGCGCAGCAAGGAGCTCTCTGTGCACCTGTGCCTGCCTGCACAGCACCAGAGAAGGCCCATCCTGCTTTACCTGTTATTCAAAAGCATTTGGCAAGTGTGACCTGAAGTGGACTCATCCCACTTTCTCACTTCCCATGATGACAGGGCACATCCAAGCGTGCTTTCAAGCACCTTAAGTCTCACTTGAAGCTTCTTATTCTAACCACGCTGTTCTGTCAAGCTGAAGAAACAAGCTGCTTACGGCAATGGTGCTGTGCTGTCCTCCAGAAATTATGGTGCCTCCATGGGCTACAGGGAGCTGGGCTGGGTCCCCACATCTCAGGGAGCCAGCAGACTCAGGCACCCACTGCCCATCACTCCTATGGATGTCCTGAAAGCTGGGCTATGGGTGGCACAGCTAGACACCCACACCCTGGGGAATCTACTTCAGGAACCAGCGTTTCAATTCCTCCTTCCACTCACCGACACAGAAACGTGCCTCTCTCCAGCTCTGTGAGATGACTTTACTATGTGACTGCACCAATCTAACAGTCAACCTCCTCTCCCTCTTCATAGATAAAAAACCTGTTTTCCCCACGGAAGCTGTTATCGCTGCTGCTGTGGTGGTTGCACTCACTGTGCTTTTTGGAATCGTGGCTCAGAAAGACAAAATATTTAAGGTATGCAAAGACTCAGTTTCTTAAGAAAAACGTAATGCTTCAATGTCCTTTTATTTTCCACCTTTTCTGGGATGCTTTGTAGTGCTGTTTTCCAGTGCTAGGGAGCCATTGTGTAATATCAGCTCCTTGAGAATTACTAGCAAATAAATCAAATCTCAGGCTTTTTAAGGGGAGTGAATTACACATGTGCAAGAGCTCAGTAATAATACCTCTCTGTGCAGAAAACACAGACAGTAACAGCATTCTCTCTTTCTTTTCAGCGCTTCAAAAAAACAAATGAAACAGCCCTGTAAGTATCTGACCGCACAACCACACAGCTTCCCAGAATAAGGGCCTGAATGGAACCCCTTCTTCAAGCTCTAGCAAAACATGATAGCACCCACATGCTGCCCTGCCGCGCTGCAGCTCTGGATGGCTGCTGTCACCCCTCACAGCTGCAGGGCTGGGACGTGGGGACACAGGGCAGTGACACACTTGAAAGTGAAAGGAAAACACTCCGTGCAGGGGGAAAAACCTCACCTGTGTGTGCAGCCACAGCCGTTGGGAGCTGAGTTCAATTCAGCCGTTGGCTTTTTTTTTTTTTTTTTTTCCTCCACTGGTAGTGAATTTCCACGTTGTTCCCTTTTGCTGCAGGTAAAGATGGCAGGGAAGCTTTGCATACCCAGAAAACCCCATTCTTAGTGGTGGCACACCTGCACCAGATTAGGCACCGAAACACAACTCCAGACACGAGCTTTGTGACAATACAAGCATCATTTCACAGCTGCTGATCGCAATCACTGCTCAGAACGCAGACACGGGGCACGAGGCTGAGGGACCGCCGCACCTCGTCCCGCAACCCCGAGCCTGGGATGCCGCGCTGATGGCGGGCCACGCAGCCTGTCTGCCTCCCCCCCCGACCGCCCTTCGGCTTCATTTCGGGATTGCACCTCACCACCAATAAACGCACCGTGCCATACGTTAACTCGAGTCTGTGGTGCACACGCTGCTGTCGGGACAGCAGGGCGCTCCGTGCAGACCATCGCGATGAGCGCCAGACCGCGGCGCCGAACGTTCTGGAGAAAAGGGCGCGGCGCGGAAAGGGGGCGGAGCTTCGCGAGCTTCGGCGGGCTCGGCTCGCGCAATCCGATGCCTTTTGTCTCTCTCCGCCCGCCGTCCCCCTCCCACCGCCACCCTCAACGTCGAGCGGCTCGGGCCCCACTTCCGGCTTCCGGTGCCGGGGCTATAAGAGCCGCTTCCGGCGGGGCGCGCGCGACCCGTTGGGAGGGTTCAGCTGTTGTGCGGCGCTCCGCTTTCCGGCACCATGAATGCCCATGGTGAGGGGCGGGCGCACGTGTGGGGGGCCTCGTCCACGGGGGGTGGGCTCACCGTGGCGGTGGGCCTGGGGAGGGGGGAGGCTTATCTCTGGGGTGGGGTCTCTGTGATGAAAGCCCGCGAGGGGCTGTGGGCCTGGGGTCGTCTTGTATCCCGCTGCGGGGCGCTTATGCTGCCTTCCCCTTCCCCCCTCCCATTCCCTGCAGCAGGGCTCAGCACCGAGAAGGCCGCGGCCTTCACCCGGCGGCTGCGGGCCGAGCCGCAGTTCCTGCTGGCCCAGAACGTGGCGACCTGCAGCGACCCGCTGGAGGTTTGTCTGCAGCGGCAGGTGGTGCAGGAAACCATACAGGTCTTCCAACACGCCGTGCCCGCCGAGGGCAAGCCTGTCACCAACCAGAAGAATTCTGGTAAGTGGGGGCTTTGGGGCACCTGGGGTGGTTGGTTACCTCCCTATGGGTGTAGGAATCTCTGCTGGAGGTCTCAGATCAAGAGGAGCTTTGTTTAGGGTTGGGCATGGCAGGGTGGGCTCACTGCCGGGCTCTAGGAGGGATTCTGGTGGCAGTGAGTTCTGAGAGCAGCTGCTGGAAGTTCTGTGGGTGATCTGACATGGAATCCCTGCAGCAGGGTGATATCTGCCTTCTGGTCCTCTTTCCCTTCTGTAAAGAGCAAGATGGAAGCAGTTGAGAGACCTGCATGCATGGTTCATAGGAACATAGAATCATTAAGGTTGGAAAAGACCACTAAGATTATCAAGTCCATCCAGGACTTCTGAACTCACTGGTTATTCAGTAACCTACAGTGCTGGCCAGGGCACTGGTCCAAATGCTTAAGATGGAATGCAAAATTCATGGTGTTGCTCTAAGCCCTTACATAGCTCTGAATACAAGCGTTGCAGTTTAATTCTTGTTTCTTTGACCTCAGGGAGATGTTGGATCTTTTCCTGCCTCAATGCAATGCGTCTTCCCTTCATGAAGAAGTACAACATTGAAGAGTTTGAATTCAGCCAGTCATATCTCTTTTTTTGGGACAAGGTACAGTACTGCAGGCCACAGACTGTGCTAGGAATGCTTATACAATTGAGTCTTAGTAGTGGGGCAGAGTTTTTCTTAAGCTGGGCTCTCTGAATAATCCAGAAAGAAAATGTGAGTGCAAAGAACCACCAGAAATTTTTAAATATATATTTGAAATTAAGATTGGGCAAAGTGAGACTTGTGGCTTGAGGAGGAAGTCATCAAGATGTTAATGTTCTGAAGTAGTAAAAGTCTTTCAAGTGTTCTGAGTATTTTAAAAGTTATTTATGGTAGGCCCAGCGGGAAGCCTAAGCCTAACTGTAATTTTCTGTGGAGCTCTCTTTCAGTCATGCTTGCCACCTACTGATCTGGGAGCTGTTTGCTTTTTTCCTGAAGGGAAATTGAGAAAACCTAGCACTTGTTTGTGCCAGGCTTCGTTATATAACTTGTTTCACATTTCCTGTTTCCTCTGCCCTCGAGCTCTGTACTAACTCACTTCTAAATACATGGTCTGCACTAGAAATAAGCTTTTGGTTAAGACCTGGGATGGGAGAGGGAAAACAAGCGTGTTAGTGGATGAGCAGATAGTTTCATCTAGCTCCAAAGAACTGAATACTGAATGGGAACGAGTCCATGCGTGTATCACACAGAGATTTGTCCTGTCTGTTCGTTGTAGGTTGAACGTTGTTACTACTTTCTAAATGCCTTTGTGGAAACAGCTCAGAAAAAGGAACCCATAGATGGAAGGCTGGTGCAATTCCTGCTCTCTAACCCCACAAATGATGGAGGCCAGTGGGATATGTTGGTTAACATTATAGGTAAGGGAATTGGGTGCTGGGAGTCCTAAATTGTGCACTGATTTGGGAGATGATCCAAAATTGTTTCCTTTCACTCAACGTTTGATACTATACTTGATGCTACAGTGTAGGATCTCCTAGGTCATAGAGCAGCTGGCACTGCAGAAGACTTCAAGTAGAGGTTTGCTTATACTTTTCACTGTAACCTGTCCAAAACCAGCCTGAAATGACTGAGGTAAATATGAGGAGTAACAAGTTGGCTCTGAGCGTAAGGCTTACTACATCTTCTATGCTTTTATGCCTGAAAGTAAGTTGTTGTCTGTCTCAGAGCGTTCTGCTAATGGAAATTTATGGAAAATGGAATTTAATGGAAAGCACTGCAGGTGAGATGAAGTCTGGAGAATTGTGTAAGTTCTGCTGGACTTAGTCACTGATTTCCAGCTTTGTTTTCTTTAATCTTCTGATACACCATGTGAAAAAGCAGCTAACCTATTTTCTAATCATGCTTCCTTTCCAGTAACCATCACCTTTCTGTTGTTAGCACAGGGAGAAAAGAGATATGAACTTCCATGAAGATGGGTTTTCTTCTTCTGTGTACTCAATCCTCAGGTGTGAGGCATGCAGGAAGAGCTTGTAGCATGCCTCAGTGATTGATGTGTTCAAGATTCCTTACTCTGACAATCTGTAGTAGTTAGAAATTGAGTATGAGACCTGGAAGCTTGTTAAAAGGCATGACACTTAGTGGCTGCCTTCTTCAATCAAGGATCTTATTGTATCTTCTAAGCATTAGGCTTAAATTTTCTCTAGGATCTTTATTTTTGCATATTGCTGCTTCTGATAGAAGCTCAAAATCAGCAGGATAATTAGATACCCCAGTTGTCAATTCAGTAGTAAGTTTCAGTCCCCTTTTACTTTAGTCTCAACTCGATGTTGTTGCCTTTGTGTCCATGCATGCAGTCGTAGTGCACAAGGCAAAGAAGAGACTTTGTTAGACCAGGGTGTGTCTTCAAGGCAGAAGCAAAGCTGCCCTGATTTGCAGCCTGAAGAAAGGAGATGTAAAGATTGGTGAGAGGGAAATCATATGGAATGTGGCAGTGCTGGTCTTACAAAGGTGCAATTTAGGGAGCATCATTACTCTTAGTGCTGGTGTTTGAATTAGACTAGCATCTGCTTTAATTGGTATGATAATGCAATTGAAGGCCTCTGTAAGGTAACAAGCCAATAATGTAAGTTTAGAATCACAAAAGAAAATTGTTTCTTTGAAGCCTGGGGTGACTTTTTTTCACTGTTACAAACACTTAAACAAGGCAGAGAGAACTTGTGGCTGCTGCTGTTACATCCAGAACCTTGAGTGGAGTGGTCTTTGGTACTGAGATGTAGGAAATGGTTACTGCTGATGCTTTATCAATGTTGAGTGAAGGAGAGTGGGGAATCTTAAACTTACTTAAACTTAGACAAAATACATGGAATGATTCGTGAGTTCAGTTTTTCTGAAAGAATTTTCAGGATCTTAATTTTCATGTGAACTTTTTCTAGTGAGAAAGAGCTTCTTCAGAAGCACTGATCAGTCTGGGAGAGCTCAGTGTCAGATGGAACGAATCGAGCCTCTCAGCGATCCCATTCCAGCAATGATTGCTAACCCTCAACTTAATTTCTTTCAGAAAAGTATGGTGTTGTTCCCAAGAAATACTTTCCTGAATCTCATACCACAGAGGCTACTAGAAGGATGAATGAGATCTTGAATCATAAGGTAAAAGTGGCTTTTATGTTACGATTAAAGAAGGGTGGGAATGATCCTGCTTCAGATACTCTTTCATTTCTTTTCATTGGCTGAAGTTTTAAGTGCATCTCAGAAACTGAACTCGTTTTATTCAGAAGGCAGCCTGAACTCATAGCAGTTAACCTTGAAATATGAAGCAGGAAAATGTGTTTATGGAAGAAGATGGCCATTGTCAGGCTTCAGTAGCTTGAGAGCATCACATAACTTTAGTAGCAATTGTTCCTAATTATCAACTCTCTGAAAAGCTCCCGCTTGATCTGTGGTTGTAGCTTGAATCCTAAACTACAGAAGTGAATTAATCAGGAGGTTGGTAGTGTAGGTGGCCAGGTAACTGTGACTAGATGAAAAAGCTTCAACTGCATTTTTATAATGGGCTCTGATTATTCCAGTTCATAAGGAATATGCTAAGAGGAAAGTGCCTTTGGAAATACATAATGCAAAATCTGCTGCAGTGAGCCCAGACGTAATGGTGGTGCTGATGTTCTTCTCTTCAACACTGCAGGCCAGCTGGTCTTGAGGGAGCTCCTGTCACTGCTTCTCTGCCTTATGGATGATGACAGTAATGGCGGCATGTGCTGCTCTTACTGCAATTCTGTATGCAGTGGGGAAGTGCTCCATTATTTTTATCAGCCAAGATATTAATTATGCATTAGAATTGCAGAATTAATTTTACAGTACGGAGGCAGTCTGCTCTGTGAGTCAGAGGTGGCCATGAGTTTGAATGTTGCAGCACTAGTTATGTTACAGAACCAAGGGGAGCCAAGCCTTAAGAGAAGCTGATGGCTTAAGCTTCAGAATAGTTAGAAAATACTCATTGAATTGCAGGTGCTTGTAGATATTTTTTTTCTGTGCTGTTTTCTTGTATGTAAATGAGAATCTTGATTTTAAAGACTCAATATCTAACAAGACATTCCAAAGTGGATTTCTTTTTGATTTTGAAAATGTTATGAAGGGTAAAATGGGTGCTGTTACAACCTGGATGGTTGGAAGTCCTGAAGACTGATTTGGCAGCACCTTTCATAACCTTAAAATAAAATGACCTTCTCCTTCAACAGATGAGAGAGTACTGCTTGCGACTGAGGAACATGGTGGCAACTGGAACAAATAAGGAAGAACTTTGTGCTGCAATGGACACCATGATAGAAGAGGTAAACGCAGT